GGTGGAACCAGGGATTGAACTCAGGCCCTTGTTCTTGCCAGGGAAGCACTTATTCTACTAAGCCATCTCCCCGGTCCCTAGCCATCTCCCTGGTCCCAACACCTATGTATTTTATTCCTAATTTAGAGTATTCTTTTGACACAGGAAGCTTAAATGTCTTTGACTTCCTTTTAACACAATATAGTTATTTTTTATTCAGAAAAAAATCTCAAAAAAAAGAATCTCAAACATTCCAAAAAAATTGGAAGATTGCTACAGTGATTATATGATTAATATTTTGCTGTTTGTCAATATATGTCTATGTGTGCTTATAGACTTTCTATAATTTACTCAGCCATTTAACTGAAAATACTATGCAGTGATCACATTACTTCATTCCCAGTATTTTAGTGTGTAACAAGTAAAAATTAGAACATTACTTTGTGTAGCTAGAACACCATTATACCTATAGAAATAAATAATTCCTTAATATTCAGATCTGTTTGGGGACTTCCATTTTCATAGAGATGTCTTCTAAATGTTTTAAAAATATTTTAAGGACATCAGCCTTTTGGAGAATGTCAAGTGTCCTAATGGGGGTTTTGTAGCTTTTGTTTTTCATATTAAATAAATCCTTTATTGTTTAGAAGTTTTTGACATACATTTTAATTAAAATTTAAAATGCCATAACTTGTAAAATGTTTCATGTTTTAGTATGTTAATCTACTTTTTTAAAAACCAAATTGTTCCTAACTTTTATCCTAGGAGAAAGTATTTTACCACATTGGGAGAAAATGACTGAACAGATTCAGGAAGGAAATAATGTGAACTTAAAAAAAATTGGTGATTCCTCAGAAGTGGTTAATATTGAAGAACGGTATTGTTGTGACCTATGCTTTTCTTGTTTTCCCTTGAATGTGCTTGTTAGTATAAGGTTGTTAATACCTCTGTCACATATTGTCAACATCAGAAAGAAGTAGGTGATGCATCAGTAGCTCTGACATTGCGTTGGAAAAACAGCATACTTTCTCACTTGGGAGAAACACCGGGACAAAATTACTCTCTCTTATGGTTAAATTCTGTTGTGGAGAATAGGAATAGTACATATTAAAATCTCACATTTGGTGTCACTTATAAATTGTAATTGCATAATTAGTTTAAGTTATAGAAGTGAGTGATAGCAAAAAAAAACACAAAACAACAAACTATATGTTTCATCTTTTAAGTAGCCACATTATTTCCCTAAGTATTTGAAATATTTTAATTTATAGTACAAGCAAAATGACATTTGTTGTGGCTTTACTCAAATTGCTGAGGATTTTTCTTAACTTAAAGTATACACATTTATTGTGGTAGAAAAGATCAAAGTATGTTATATGGATGCATGAATATGCCAAAATGAAACCCCCCAGCTGTATAATACATACTAATTAAAAAATGTTGGGGCTGGTGAG